GGGTCCTAGCGTGGCGCCCTCACCGGTGAGGAGCTGCGGGCGCCTCCGCGGTCCGTCAGACAGCCACTGCCCCCTCCCCCGGCTCCGGCTCCGCCGCCTCCACTCGGGACAGGAGTCGCCTGCCCGCCGGCCGCAGACAGCGGGTCCGGGGACCCGCCCCTACGGCTCCGCCTTTGCACCGCCCATTGCGCCGTCTACCCGTCACTCAACTCAGCCTCTGCTGTAATTGGACAGCCTTCAACGAGTGGCTCAGTAGTAGCCGCCCAATCTCCGCCCCTGTCACCCGGCCACACACGCACACATTCCTGGCAGTGATTGGTGTGGGTCTGATTGGTGCAGTCTGGGATCAGTCAACCACACCTCTTCGCTATATCGTCGTGTCATTGGTGAATAGGACAGGGGGCGGTAACTCCATGCGCCCTTTGATTTTATTGGTTGGTCTCCGGTGCTCGGACCCGAGCCAGGAGGCGCGGGGGGCGGGGGGGGGGGCGGTGCGCATATAGTAGTCCAATCTCCGGTTTGAGAAGGTGGGACGTACCGGCCACCACTCGAATCCCGGGAGAACCTTCTGGAACCCGTGCAACGTCAAAGGGAGTCTTAAAGGAAAACTGCGTCCACCAGTTGATGACTCTGGGAATTCTCTCCTTATATCACTTAGGAGGGTAGGCGAGAGAATAGTGCACTCTGGGAGATGTAGTCTCTGGACCAGGGTCAAAAGGTCACCTCTTAACCTGTTTTCCATCAAACCCTGAACTGACCTCGACCTTACCTGATTTAGCTTTACCTTACCTTGACCCAGAGTTGACCTGACGTGACCTAACTGAAGTTCAAAACAGACCCCGTTAGATATGCAGTTTAAGTGCCCTTCCCCTCTCTCTTTTGTAACCTGGTAGTTCTCATGTTTGGGACCTCCATGGGTCTTTGAGTCTCCTTTTCATTCTCTATATAGTCCCTACATCCCAGCTTCTTCATGAGCAGCCCCTTCTCAGCAACTCCCACAATCTCCATTAAAGTTCTCTATAATCTTTCATTCTACTTCCCCTTTGAGTCCCTACATTTTAACCCCCCTTTGTTTTTCCCTCTTCTTGGCCCCGTATGATCTCCTGTCTTTCCCCCATGATCTTTTGTCATATCCTATTCTTAATTCTTTCTGCTCCCATGATCTCCCCTATCCTAACTCCCCTCTTTAACCCATCATCTCAGCTCCACTTGATCTTCTTTTTTAACACCCTCAGAATCTCCCATCTCAGTCCCACCCCCACCCCCACTCCGCATTACATCTCAATCCCAGTATCCCCGCTGTTCAGAGCAGGCAGGGATGCGGAGGTGGTTGCCAGCGGAAGCCGACGCTTGAGCAGACACGGTGCCTGGCGCCCACGTCACTGTCTCCCAGGCCCATCTGTGCTAGAGGGAACAGGGCTGGGGAGGGGATAACCCCCGGGTGAAGAGGGGAAAGGAATTCTTGGAGGGTTTGAGGACAAAGGAAGGGCTGAGGCAGAAGCTCTCACTAACTTCTCTTTGCCTTTTTGTTTCAGAGACAGAGTTTGGATACCCATAAGGTCATACAAACTGGATAGAGCTGGAAACTGAGGCTTTTAGAGCATCAGTACCTAGGCTACAGAGCAGAGAAGATCATAGCAGAGCAGGAGAGAGGTCTAGAGGTCCTGAGGTCAGGTCTGCATGATCTCCATTACCTGTCTTCTTTGTAGTACTCACTATGGGGATCCCAGGTAGAAAGGGGTGTGAGGTGTGGAGAAAGGAAATGAAATGGAGTAAGAGGAAGTAGGAGAGGAGGGAGGGAAGGTAGGGTGAGGCAGATGAGGAGAGGAGGGCAGGGAAGATGGGATGAGGGGCATAAGGAGAGGAGGGGAGGATGTGGTGGGAGAATAGAAGGAATAGGATATGGGTGAGCAGCAAAAGGATGGGACAGAGTGATGGGATGAGGAAGAATGAGGAGGGGAGGAGAGAGGGATGATGAGGGAATGAAATAATGTGACATAGCAATGGGTGAGGTAGGGTGAGGGATCCCAGGAATAATGCTGGCTCTTTAGATCTGGGGGCTCTTACTCTCCCACCTCCAGACTAATGGGGGCCTGAGCTGTAGGTGGCTCTACTTCTTTCTATTCCAGTTCTGTCTATTTTGCCTCCTCCAGTCTTGCCTGTGCCAACACGGAGGCAGAGAGTTTAGACACTGGCCCTTACCTGGTCCCTGCTAATGCTAAAGTGTAGATTTAGACCTTCGAGGGTTCGGGCTGTGCCTTCAGGTATTGATGACATGGACTCTGTTGTCTGCCAGTGTCACTATTGCTGCCCTCTGTCCCATTGCCCTGGGTGTCAGATGTGTGTATGAAGAACCAGGGTGCACAGTGAGGCATAGGGTATAAGGATATAGGCTCTGGAGGTAGATTATTGACCTTGTAAGGTTACTTGCCACATCTGTACCTCATATCCTTTTTTGTAAAATGGGGATAGACAACAGCAATACCTCAGAGGGTAGTTGTGAAGGTTAATTAAGGTAACACGTGTAATGTACCTAGTTCTGAGCTTGGCAGTAGTTAATGCTCAACAGAATTAACTGTTACTCTGTAAGTTCACAGATATCTCGGTGTGTGAGTGCATCTAAATGTTTGAGTCTGATTGGGAGATATTTGTACTGTTGTTTCTGTATGCAATTTGTGAGAGTGTATCTGTGTAATTATTTTTGTGTGGTAGTGTGCCTGATTCTGTTATTTGCTGTCGGCGTATGGTTTTATGTTAGTGTACATGTATGATTAAATGACCGTGTCTACATGACAAAGAGTGGATGAAGTGTGGCTTTGTGGCTTTTGACACACTGGTATATGCATACACTTCTGATCATGTCTGTTCCAAACACCCTACTCACCCTCCCTCTCCATGGAAACGTCATAATACTTGGTGTCCCTCATTTCCTCACCCTGAAGGAACCGGAACGTGGGGGCAGGGGTGGGTGTGGGTGCCAGTGAGGAGGTGTTTAGACAGGAACACATGTTCCCTCCTAGACTGTGTATGGGAGGGGGAGCCCCCTATCTTGCACATATCCTGAAGGTTCCAGAGGAAGTGCTCCCCCTCCAGCTGGTTCTCAGTTCCCTGTCTTGTCACCATGGCAACAGTTGCCAGGGGTTCCCATGGTTGCTAAGATCTGGGTGTGGGAGGTTACCAGGAGATGTTGCCAGTAGAAACAGAGAATCCTGGGGGAAAGGAAGACTACTCCCACAGCTGCCAGCTCTCTGCAGTGACAGGACTGGCCCTTGGACTTCTCCTGTCCCAAAATTGTACTTATGATTTGTATGTGGCAGTACTAGGGTTGGTGGGAGGCTTTAGCAGGAAGTTGAAACTAGAATACTGGGATTTATCTTCTGAGGAAAAAGGGGGCTCTAGCCTGCCCATTACCATCGTTAAGGTTGGGAGGCCCTTAGAAATTAGTGATTGAATTCTGTCCCCAATTTCTTATACGTCTCCCGTGAACTCTGCTTGAGTTCTCCAGTGGCTAGTGTTTATTACCTGATGCTTCTATCTGGTATAGGAAGGAATGCTACATTAACCCCATTACCCTGGATGCAGACTGACTTCTTCCTGAGGTCAGACTCAGCATCTCACCTGGATATATACTTCATGCTGACACTTTAGCCCAGACTTCAGTCCCACACTGAGTCTCAACTTTGGCCTCAGCCTGAGACACTGACCTTAATCCTGAATCAGGCAGTGCCCCCAAACCCAGCCTCAGCCCAAGCCTTCCTGTTAGACATGGATGAGCCCCAATCTTAATACAGATATTTGAATTTATCCACAGATGCAATTCTGATCATGTACTCTGACTGAACACTGACCAGAAATCTAATTCCCTGATACTTGCCTGGCAGCTTGCTGCATGTTTTGAACTGACCAGTACCATAAGGATTCAAAAGGGTCATTTATTGCCTCGGTGTGAGAGGACAGTGCTAGAAATGACCAGCAGAGGGCGTGCAACATCAGGTTCTAGAGGCAAGCTTCCCAGAGCCCACCTGGGAGGGGGATATCAGGCGTATCGAGATCTTGAATCGTTTTTCGAGACCCAGGTCAAGACCCAGAGCTGCAAGCACAACAGTAGTCTAAAAGGTTGAACTAAATAAATTAAGGTTGAACTAAATAAAATAAACTAAAATAGTGGTCTAAAAGGTTGAATTAACCCAGCGATGCTGACACTTTGGGGTCACGTGGGTCTGTACAATCATGGGTCTTCCTACAGCTCATCTGGGCTGAGGTCTGGGAACTCACCAGAAGGTGCTTAACCATTTACTGGCATCACGGGTCTTAAGAGGACTGGATACCTGGTGAAGCATCCCATTCCAACTCAATGCTCAATACAGCTTCAGTACCTTCCTTGGTATCTGGTTATCTTTTGGTCCTATTGAGCAGAAATCTGCCTCTCCTCCACCTTTTTGGTCTTAGCTCTGTGCTCAAGATCACATCAACCTCACTGGTCCCACCTGCCAGGCATCCCTCAAGTCGCTCCTCTCCAGGGTGAACACCCCGCAGGCCTTCCTGGGTTCTTCCTCTGCCTTGTTCCACTCCAGGCACTAAGACTATGGTCTCCTGTCTGAGTTTCAGTTCATGGTGCTTGGTTTAGTTTTTGGATTACCTGGATTAGTTTTTTCCTGACATGCCAGTGCGGTATGCAAATGAGTCAGCCTGCTCCCTCCTCTGACTCCAAACCTCTTTCTGTGTAGCCTCATGTTGCGTCAGTGTTTTTGGTAGCCACCTCATATTGTTCACCCATAACCAAGTGAAGACCACAACCTATTTTCTCCCTGAGCTGCTAAATCACATCTTGCCCATTTTGTACCTGTCGTGATTTTGAAAGGAGTGTTATATTTATTTTATGAACAAAGATACTTGAAATAAATAAAATAAAAATATTTTGGCAATACTTTCTGAGTTTTAGGGAAATCCCTGGGCTTTGAAATCTCTGCACTTGATGCGTACTTAAAGGTAGGACTGAAGTTCTCACTTTGGCAATACATATGCTAAAATCGAAAAAATACAGAGAAGGTTAGTATGGCCCTTGCGCAAGGATGACATGCAAATTCATGGAGTGTTTCATATTTTTGTTTTTGCTGAATATTAAAATGTAAGATTGTAAAGTGAATGTATATATGAATAACTTAGTATATTACAAAACAAAAAGAGGGACTAAAGATTCTCAGCTGGCTTGGCCGTGACTTCAGCACTGTGGATAGAGGCCATTGGAGGTACCCCCAGCTATACCTTGGACTGTGAGTGGGTGGAAGATAATACACGCATAGCCTTCAGGTGGGGCCAGAAATCCATGCTGCTCACTCAGTGCCTTACGGTGTAGAAAGCTCTTTTACCAAACTCATTCTGCCCTCATTCAACTATCAGCCCAGGCAGCAGACAAGAAAGGGACTATTTTCTAGATGTTCACAGTTGAGGAAACTGAGGTTCAGCTAGGTCAAACTCCAAGCAATCTTTTGGGTGTGGTGGGACAGAGGACACTAATTACTCCATGTTTAGCAAACATTACCTCTGGGGAATGACTTTCTCTTGAGATAAAGAGGAGTACACTTGAGCCAAAGCAGGACAGGGTAGTTGGAAGTCTGTGTGGAACTGAAGCTCCAGACAGCCCAGGGAACAGTGGAAGTTGGTAGGAGGAATAGTCGAGGAAGATCTAAAGTTCCAGTCAGGACTATTGAACTGAGGGTGGAGAAATCTGGCTGTCTAAATTAGAGTCCACAGAGGCCCAGCTTTTAGCCTGAATCCTAATGCTTAGCTTCACTGAGCCTGGAGACAAGGAGAAGGGACCTGTAGGATGTTATTAAGCTGTCTCCAAGCCTAATGGATGTCCATGGGATAACTCCAGGGAGGAGAAGTATGGGAATCTTGTGAATGAATGGGGTGAGTTGTCCAGGTAATAAGAAATCCTGTGACACAGGCCTGGCTACCTGTGTATGTCTATTCTTAGAAGGTGGAAAGGGAGAGGTGCTAGACCACAACACAGCTGTTTCCTTGAGGTGTATTTTGACAGGCAGCACAATAACATGGTTAAGAACATGGGCACGGAAGTCAGACTACCTGGTTCCCCTACTTCCTAGCTGCATTACTGTGTAACCTGGAAAAAACTTCAGCCTCTCTATTCCTCACTTTTCTCATCTGTAATGAAAATCTCATAGGATTGTTTTGAAGATTAATTATTTATGCAAAGCACTTAGAACTGTCCAGCACATAGTAAGTGCTCAAAAATGTTAGCAATTATTTGTATTTGAGACCCCTATGAAATGAAGGTAGAGTGTCTGCCTCTGAGCCACATTCTAGAGAGGCTTTCCTGCTACAGGTACTGGCTCTGTTCTTACCAGGTGAAAGGGATGAGTGGGGATTCTGTAGCCCTCTGAAAACTTCTTCAGACCATAGTTTACCCAACCATATTATATCACATTAAACCAATTTGCAAAAACAGGAGGAAACTATCAGACCAAGGAGGGTCCAGAAGACCAGGAGAAAACACAGCCAGCTAGCTTTCACCTACTTT